TCAGAGGACTGAAAAGGGCCCTTGGGTCATGAGTTACATTACATCATACTATATCTCCGCTCAGGCTCCGTCCGAAACTAGCCAGCACTGCTTTTCCCATCTAGTCCACTCCTGTTGGAAGCCCTTTAGAGCCCCCTCCATGATTAGAAACACTGTTTGCCTTTGTAACCTAAAGCTTTTGTGGTCAATCTGTTCCCTTCTATTCTCATGCCAGCATTGTCCTCTAGCTGAAGTACTGCTTTCCCTATCTTCTGCATCCCCCTGCTTCATTTGGAGAGCACAATGATCTCCTCTTCTGCAGCGCTGTTAGGGCTGCAGTCAAAGTTTCGATGCAGTGTTACAAATCATAGAACTGTAGGATGGTTTGGGATAGAAGGCACCTTTACAGGCCATCTAGTTCCAGTCCCTACTTGGCATTACCCTGGGCACCTTCCAGCTCTTCAGTTGGGTGATGTGCCTCAAGGAGACACGAGTGCAAATGTGTGTCTCAGCTAGTGCTGGGGGAGGAATGAATGGGATCAGAACTAACTCTTCTTCCCTCTTTTGCTCCTGTACAATCAGTCTGCTCGGCTCAGGAAAAATGGAGGAGAACAAAGAAAATGACCTTCAGACTCCATTACCTCAATCTTATGCAGCAACTGTAGCCAGACAAAGTACAGTGCCTTCAACTTCAACCATGCCAGGTAAGCACCACACCCGCCCTTTCTTGGAGCAAAGAAAGCAAGACAACCCCTGTAGCAAAGTGGGAAGTCTCTGAACAATCAGATGTTCACTCTAACCATAAACAGTCCATGTGCAAGGCACACTGGGGCAGCAGGGCCTTCTGCAGCTCACCCAGTTCATTCGATTGGGAATGGGTCAGTTATTTTCTGCTCTCTGCCCATTGCCAGGCAGCTGCAGTCCACTCCTGATAGGTAGTGTTGATTGTGATACCTTTCCCTTCTGCTGCCCCCAAGTGCTCTGCCAAATGCCAGAGGAATCAGGATGTGTTAAAACAATGATAACAGCGTTGCAGCTGTTTGTTTCCAGCCTCATAGCACCCATTTATCAGCAGTGCTTTGCATTTCCACTTCTGCAGGTTATTCGGAGGATGGTGGTGCCCTGCGAGGAGAGGTTATCCCAGAGCATGAGTTTGCAACTGGACCAGTGTGTCTCGACGATGAGAATGAGTTCCCTCCTGTGAGCATTCAGGACCCCTAAAACAGCAATTCAACCCCAATGCTAAGAAGAAAGTATTAACCTCTGACAGAAGAAATTCTGTTGCCCTGACCTTGTCCCAGTTAGCTGTGAAGCTTTGAATAACTAATTCAGGTATAGGGAGAGTGCCAGGAACATCACACCCCTACTACATGGCAGCTGGGATGGGGCAAGGATGATCAGCCTGATAGTTAGAGAGAGACCTGAACAAATGAGCAGAATGAAGTTCAGATGCAGAACAGAGTTCAGATCCAGACCTGACCTTTGTGCCTTGCTCAGATTTCTAGTATTATCAGGAATAGCTTTAATTTGAACAATGCCATCATTCAGAAATAAAAACTTAGTTTTCCCTGTTGGATTTTCAATCAGTTGTATTAGCTTATGGAAAACAACTGGAACATACCTGAACCTCATCAGCCCTCTGGAAATATCTCATTTCCAGAAAAAGAAACAAAGCAAAACAGATTTTTAAGCCATTGTTTTGTTTTTTTAAGTGGCACTTTCTCAGTTACTGTTGGAAGAACATACTGGCTTTATAAAATCTAACTTAAGCCTGGCAGTGTCTCTCCCACTCTTCTTCCTGTTATATAAGCATTTACTGTGTTAAATGCTTGACCCCTAATTGGACAGATATTGCTTACACTGCTGTGATCTGGCTGTAATCAGCAGCATCTTCATGATAGTAATGCATTAATACAGCAGAATATTGTAATGGATTTCAAGCTGTAGACTTGGCAGACTTTGGAATTCCTTACTCCACTTTCACATATCCTGCTGTTGGAGATTTGCCTGAAGAAGGAGGAAGCAAAAATTTCATTGGGATCCCAGGATTTGTTCCATATGCTGGGGCTGACCTCCTCTGTAAGGCACTTTCAAATTAAGTGATGCAAAGAGTTATTTATATAAAAGATGACTAATTCGTGCCTCCCTTTGAAACTCTGCCTAAACGCAGCTCTTCAAGTCACATAAATCTCAGACCGATTCTCTTTACCTGTGCCACAGCTTGTTGGAGACAGAGCACGAGAGTTTCTATTTGTCCCTCTCCATCCCCTAAGGAGGACATTTCAGTGTCTCCCATCTGGTCAAAGCCTTTGGGCCGCAGAGCAGCTGCAAGGAATGTCTGAGGAGCAGCACAGCCAGAGAGAAGTCCTTTGCTTCCTTCTGACGAACCTGCTCTTTGAGCATGTGGTTTGGGGCCATGCAAATGCCAGCAAGCAGGAACCACGCTGCTCCTGAATGAGCCTGCCTGCTGGGACTGTGCTGTAAAAACCAGCCCCAAACCCCTGCTGTACAGGCAGGGGTTTTATTAAATGGACTTTGATCTGTCAAAATCCTGTGCTGTAATTAACCTGACGGAGCAACTTACATGTGTAACATTAGGGAGGAGGTGGTGTGAGAGGGAAGGAGCTTTCCAGAAACGCTCCCTGATACAGCAGCTTAGCAATTGGAGCTTCCAGATAAAGTGTGTACAGTCAGGACTTCAGCTTTGCCCTCCCTTGCTGACGGTGATGTGTTTTGCATCTGCTCTGCTCGCTGGCGCTGGCTCCCGCTGTGTGCTGCATAGGGAAACTTGGTTGGGATGTTTTGATGTTCTGAATTTCACTCAGCTTCGCTGTTTTCTCAGCGCTGAGCAGTTTGGTGACTCGTCCAAGAGGGGTTTCAGGGATCGGTCACTTCTGTGCAGAGAAGGAGGGAGAAGAAAACTGACCTTATCCAACAAAAATGTTTTGACAGCGTTCTGTTTTGCGGAAACATGGGAAGGGTTTTGTTTGTTTTCCAATGTGCAACAAAAAGACATTTAAAAACCTCAAAACTTGTGACAAAATGGAATATTTACCCACAGCCCACGAGCACGGCTTTGAACTCAGACGTACTTCTGAGGAGGAACAGCAGTGCTGAGACCCAGCGGATCCTCTCCATTTTGAAATGGTTTGCCTTCCCCTGACCTCAAGTGCTGGTGAGCAAGACTTCAGAGGCTCAGCTGTTAATAACAAGGAAATACAGCTTCGGTCTAATGCACAATCTGTGGCTGATGGTAGAAAACTGCTTCTTCATTAAATGGAAGGAGGGACAGGTCAGAGAAGAGAGAAGCACAAGGAGGGCTTGTAAAAACACCTCAATAAGAATGAATGTGGCTATTGCTGTTGATGATGCCAGCCCTGCTGAAGTATCCTGTAGCAAGAGGTTAAGCAAGTTCAATTATGTGTCTTGCTTACACTCATGGGCTGGATTAAATGCTCTCAGGTCTCCTAGGGGCTCTGGAGTAACTGTGATCTTCTGCAGAAGGTACTCTGGCATTATTGAGATGGACAGCAGGCTGAAGGAGAAGGTGAAGAGAAGATGCTGTGCCTCAGATGGGCTCAAGGAAGCAGCACTGCACCCTGAACTGAGCAATTGGACGGCATCGTGGGAAGAAGAGCCCAGCTGTGGCTGCAGGCAGTTGGGATGGTCCCTGCCATTCTCACCAAGCAGTTGCCACCTCTCTGCAGGTTCATTGGTGTCACTGAAGCTTCTAGCAGTGTCAGAAACGTTGGTGTGTGTTCACAGCTGGCTGCTCAGCCTCAGCAGGCACCACAGGGTAGGGCTGTGAGGTTCCACATAAGAAATTCCATAGGATTCAGTAAGAATGAAGCCAGATGGTGCATGTGGCATGTGTTCATACATCAGTAGCTCATGTGAAGTGTTTCAGAGTCTTTGCTGCTCCCACTTTCCTCTCTCTGGCTGCTTTATGACTAAATGCTTTTGGCGATACTTAGGATTGGTTTTGCCTTGCCTTGTTCAGGTTGGATATTAGGAACAACTTCTTATCTGAAAGCGCAGTCAGACGTTGGCCCAGCTGCCCAGGGAGATGGGGGAGTCCCCATCCCTGCAGGGGTTCTAGAACAGTGCAGATGTGGCACTGAGGGATGTGGTCAGTGGGCACAGTGGGAGCAGGTTGGGCTTGGGGATCTTAGTGCTCCTTTTCAATCTTAATGAGTCAATCATCCTCTAATTCTATAATTCAATCTGGGTTCCATCTGCAGTCCCCAGCGATGCACACTGCGTTCCATTCTCCTACTGTGCCAAAGCTGAACTTCTAGGGGAGCTGGTGGGGCAAACACAGCTCACCCAGAGTGACCCCAGTCCTGCAAGCAGGGCTGCACTCAGTGCCATGCCCACCCCAGGAAGGACACAGCACCAAGGCAGCTGGTTCCAGTTCCCAAGGCTTTAAATTTGGGGGGGGGGGGGAGTAAATAAATAAACCTCTAACAAATCTGCCTTTGAATGGAAAGTAAAACACTGCAGGACATCCCTCCCCTTCTCCTCCCATGTACGTAAAACCAATTTGAAACACACCCTGTTGCTGGGAAAAGTAAGGCTGTTCTGTTTTGATTTTGGTAGATAAGCTTGTGCCGTGGAGGTCAGTCGGGCAAAGCGAAGAGGTCATGATGGAAGCAAACATCCGTGTGCAGGACAGCTGCTGGGAAGTGCTTTGGAGCAGCCAGGAATCTCGAAGAACAGATTTGTGAGTCTTCAAGAAGACTAAAAAATCCAAGGTGGGCCACTGCTTTTAGCCAGAGTACGTGTGAGTGAATAGCTGGTCCTGCTCACCCCTTGTTTTTAATCCTTGTCTGGGTGGGGTGTCCATGTACTGTATGCACGTTGCTATATTTAACAAACCATATGTTAGAACCACATTGTAAATGCTAATTTAATCAGATCTGTATGTAACCAGGATTTTATATACCTGTTTTACCCGTTTCTAATTTATGCTGTTGTATGTGTATAAATGTACTTATAGGAAGATATATTAAACTTATGTCTTTGTACAGTACATACTATTTTACCCAAGCAAAGTATTTTTGCAGTGACACAAGAAAAGATGCGATTTGCTACAGCTAAAGACAGAATAAAGTCACAGTCCGTCCCTGGCAGCTCGCTGCCCGTGCTCCTGCTGTTCTTTGTGGGGCCCTAAAGATGTCAGTCTTGATTAAGCTTTAGCAAGTGGGTTTGGGGCTCTGCTGAGAGGTTGGTGGCTCCGGCACCATCCGGACCCAGCCCAGCCAAAGCCACACTGTGCTGCTGTGGGAGGCTGTGGGCCAGTGCTAATTGCAAACGGTTGGGCAGCCCCTCTAATTTCAGCAGTGCTGCCCGTAATTACAACTCCCAGTGGCTGGTGTAACACCTTGCTTTGCTTGGGACAAGCCACTTACGGCTTGTCCAAAGAAAGACCTGGGTGCGCAATTTGGAGTCCAAATGTGTTTCAGAAAACCCTCACTCAGTTGCTGGGAAATCCTGGTGGTTTCTGAGTTTCAGTTGCAACTTCAGTTTTGCCTCTGCAGCTCCTCAGGCTTTTGCATGTGCCCACAAATGTCCCACAAGAGCCTCGCCCAGCCCTGCAGCATCGCATCGGGGTTGGTAGGAGCTGAGTCTGCCTGCAGCACTGGGCTGCCTGGACACCTTGGGACCCTCTCTCTGAGCTCCCTAGAAGATGCATATACACAGTTGACAGGGAGCAGTTCCTCCAGTTCTGCATTGCACACCTGTTTACACAAAGCCTTTCAAAATATCAGGACTCAGATACTTCTCCCAAGACAATCTCTGGCCTCCGCTATGCAATGCACAGCAGCTGCAGGACACACCAAGCATCCCATCTAGCAAGATGTCAGGGACATGTAGCCCTGCAAAAAGCCCAGAGCCACCAGGTGCTGCAGTGACTGCTCCAGCCAGGGGACAGTGCTGCTCTGCATAGAGCTGCAGCAAACGGGACCCTCTGTCTGCTCCCTCACACACAGCTGAGGGAAGGCTCTGTGCAAGGCGCAGAGCACGGGGAGCTGCAGCCTCCATCCCTGCCCACTGGGCCAACCTCAAGCCTGCAGCCAGCATGAACAGCAGTCCCGTTCACAGAAACCGGGATTGGAAGAGAAGCAGCTTGAGCAATGATTTGCTTACACACAAAGCTGTGTTGCTCTTCTGTCCGTGCGCTGGTGCAGCGAGGCTGTGTGAGATGTGGCTGTGTGGCACCGGCAGGCCTCGTGCTGTGTGCTGCAGCAGGGCACCGCTGCCGGGTCCTTGGAGTAGTCTGCAACCGTGATGTTGTCTGTTGCAATATCCTCCAGGGCCTGGGCATAAGCCCTGCTGATTGCAGGCAGCACTGCCTGATACTCCCTGGATGCCACGTCCAAAGGCTCGTGCTCCTGGATATCGCGATCCAAGTTGAAAATGAGCGGTGGCCAGTGATGCTCTTCTAGCCCAATGCTTCCATCACAAGCCTTCGCCCCTCCTAGGGAGGAAAAGAGAAACACAGTGCAGTGCCAGGCTGCTCACCGCTGCCCAGGTATCACCTCCGTGTCGGCCCTTTGCCACCATAGTGGCTTTGGGAGCCCTTTGCTAGGGCTGTGACACGCACACGCTCCTTGCTGGGCTTGCTCTTGTTGGTGTTAATCTGATTTGGTTTTCACCCATCCCTGGCAAGGAATTGAGAACTCCAGAAGTTGTTGTCCTGACTTTAGGCTCTGTAAAGCAGCTGCCCTACCTGTGGTGTAGAACGCCTTGTACTGAGCCAGCCGCAGCGCCTCGACCGCCCCGTCCTTCCCTGCTGCCCCGCTGTTGGGGTGAAGCAGCATCTGAAGGAAGAACACAACACAGCCCACTGCAGACAAAACCTGCTCTGTCCCAAGATCTCCCAGCACGGGGTCACCTTCCCAATAAAAGCACACATTTAGAGGCACCGCTCAGCCCAGGAGCTGCAGCTTCAACCCGAGTTCTGCCTGCTGTGCCCGCAAATGGAGTCAGGGTGAGGAAGAAGGGAAGGAGGGAGGGGTGGGTCGAGTCTCTGCTCTTTGGTATTTAGGACACTTGATGCCTTGGCACATGGCAGTGAGGAGACAAGTGAGCTGGACGGTGCGCGTCCCTCTGATCAGATCTGCAGCAAAGCCAATGGCTTCGCTGAATGATGAGTCACCAGAGGTTTCCTCCCTGGGAATTGAATTTAAAAGTGATTCAAGAAATTTCCACTGTGCTAAAAATTAGAAACATCTGCCGAAGTTGTAGGCAGCTGCGGTGCCAAGTTTAGTAACAGTGTTCGCAGCTGATCAGCACTGTAATGACCTAGCAGGTGTCCGGCGGCACCGATTGCTCTGCCCGGCACCCCCAGCAGGGCCACGATTTGGGGGGAACTTCCCATGGCTCTCAGTTTCCTCTACTGCCCTCAGTTGCAAGGCATGAGAGGCAAAAATGCCATCTGAAATTTAGTTTTAAAACGATATTTTATGGAGAAAAAAAAAAATCTGAGCTGAGGAGGTGGTGTGGTGTATGTCTGCTGCAAGGAGGAAATCCGTACTGCCACCCGCTCACATTGGCACCCCTCTGGAAGAAGCAGGTGGCTCCAAAGCAGAAATCAGCATTATTTTAGGGTGCCTGAAGCCAAACTATCAAGAACTGAACCTATCTGTCCGCTTCCAGCTTTACAGCTCAGCTTTGCTTGTCCCCTTTAACTTGAGCAGCATGGGCTGGATGGTGCTGTATGGCTGCAGAGCACCGAAACAAACAGCAAGCTTGCTCACGAGCTGCCTCCTGGAGCCCCAGCACTAAGAAAACCCATGAGGACTGACTGCACACATAAAGAGTTTGCTTCAGCTGAGCCCTTTCAGGAAACATTCCCAAGGTTTGCAGCCAGGTGACTTTGTTATTAAAAACAAAAAGAAGAAATAGGAAGAAGAAAGACAAACCCTCTCCCCAGAAAACCCTCCATCCGCACGTAGAGCTCCGGGCTGTTTTCACAAGTGAGCCGTGCGTGGGGAGGAGGAGCACAGCCCTCTACATTACACTAATGGAAAGAGCGTATTTGTGTGACACTCGTACCCTTGATACATTTCGTGTGATGTGTTTATTTTTACTGTAAATAGCCTTTGCTCAAAACAGGGCCTTGGCTGCTGCCCAGCTCCGTCACAGGTTGTGCCGGCGCTGAGCCGGGCTGGGACACAAGCAAGGTTACGGCCGCACCGCGAGCTCAGCCCCCACCCGCCTGAGTGGGAAAGCAGCTGTCAGCAGCGTGCGTGGATCCAGCGGGCGGGCGAGAAGAGGAACTGCTCTGGGAGGATTTGTGTCAAGGAAAACCCTGCGACATCAAAGGTGGTTTTGCCATTAAGAGATGAAAGCGCCGCGCTCCCGCTGCTGAGCCGCGAGGGGATGAGCGCAGACGAGCGGTGCAGGGGGAGATGCTCACTGCACTTGTCTGCGGGGCTGGGCAGGGACAAACCCTCCTGGGACAGAGCAGCTAGGACAGGCAGGGCTCTGACAGCAGCACAACACCCCCGAGAGCAGCGGGGCAGCAGCTGGGGGCTCAGCCCGGGTTTGGGGGATCGCCTCCAGGTCCCAAGTATGCAGTAAGGGCTGGTGAGGGCAGCCCCACGCTGCTGTGCCTCTGCGAGAAGAGGGTTAATCCCTGAGCCACGTCCCATCCGCTCCCACGGTTTATCTCACAGTTCAGTAGAGGGTTCCATAAATACGAGCTAAATACCAAAACCCTGATGGACGCAGCTAGCAGATCCAAGATTCCTGCTGGGAGCAGGCTCGTGGTGCTCACAGGAGAGCCGAGTTGAAAAGCAAAACCAGGCTCTATCTGTGGGTCTGCTTTAAAGCCAAACTTCTTTTTATTCGGTTCAGTGAAAAACTTGTAAAATTCTGAGAAAAATATATTGCCGTACTTCTCGTTCTGGTAGCTGCATTTCTCATGCCTAAAGGAGCCGTCAGCAGCTCCTATTGTTGCAGGGGCAGAGAACTGCAGGGCACGGGGCTGCCTGCCCCTCTCAAACATCAATAACAGGCACGTTTCCGAGCCAAGGAGCTCAGAGAAGGAGTGCTTAATTACATCTCTATCTGTCAAGATCAATAAAGTAGATAGAAGGAGGTCTGAGCCCCAGGGATCCTTTGTTTCCCATGCCTGTGCACCTCTTGTGACCAGGAAGGAGCAGCGCCGTGCTGTGCCCATGGGGACACAGAAGGGACGACGCTCCAGTTTGAAACCATTTCCCCCTGTCCCATCACAACAGACTCCACTACAGATTCTGTCCCTTTCCTTCTTGCAGCCCCCCTTTAGATCTGAGGACATCCCCAGGATGGGGCTCTCCTTACCTTGTGTCCCACGTCTGACAGCCCAAAGAGAACCGGGGACATGTCCATGCCATCAAAGCGCCTGTTTGGGGGAAGTGTGGCTCCAGCCAGGGCCACCAGTGTGGGGAAGACGTCCAGGGTGCTGGGGAAAGAAGCAGGTTCCATCAGAGCACAGAGCAAAGCCCCCAGCCCCACCTGCACCCGCTATCCTTTGCTTGGGGGGCCCTGGCTGCTTCCCTACAGCAGAGCAGGGTGCAGCCCCCGCCACGTCGTCCCCCCGGGCACATGGGGAAGGCCCCGGGTCACCCAGCACAGAAAGTGCTAGCACAGGGACTTTTTACGCCAATCCCAGCAGATCCCGCAGCCCCAGGAAAATGTGGTCTCGCTTTTGCCTCGCACAGCACGAGCCATAGCAGCCAGAATGGAAAATGAGAGCGGTGCTATTTTGTGCACTTATACCAAAATGCCTGTCAGCATTTCCACCATAATCCTCTCTTTTCAGGGGCCTCCGCCACAAAAAATCTCTCAGGGCTGGATCTTGGTTGCATGGGTGACCCGGTGCCCTCTCACTGCCAGTGCTGACACGGAAGGCAAGCAAGTCGAGCAAAGGCATGTCCTGCTGCAAGGCACACCTCCCTCCTGGGCAAGTGACACACGGCAGTGCTGTGCTCCCTGGGCGGTTGGCTCGGCTGGGGTGATGCTTGCACCGTGCACCCTGCACCCTACCAGGAGCTCTGAGTCCCAGCATCCCCCAGCTGAGCAGCCCAGGAGCAGCAGTCCCACTGCAGGAGCAGGGCCCCTCGCCCAGTGCACACAGGCTGTTGCGTGAGCAGAGAGAGCAAACAGCCCAGGACTTTAGGGCCCCTGTTTCTCCCATTCAATGAGTTTTAATTTAGCTGCTAAGAGACGGAGAGGACAAATAAGAACAAACAATGCTGAGGAGAGCTGAAAGGCAGCCCCGGCTATGCAGCTCTCGTGGAGACGGCCGGAGCAGCCAGGAGGCACCAAAATCCTCGGCTCCCCACTGTGCAGAGCTGGAGTGCATCCCTGCAGGATCACACTGAGCTCTGCACGGGGCTGCCCCACATTGCTGCTGCGGTGCTCAGCACCCACTGGGTGCAACCCCGGCACTGTGATGTGTCTGTACCCATCCCATGTGCAATTACCCTAAATCAGCACCTGAACCCCCCTGGAAACCATCAGAGCTCGCAAAAAGGGCAAAGCAAGAAGGACTGGGACAGTGTCAGACAGGTGCAAGCAACACACTGGGATGAAAGAAGGCATTTTTCAGCACTTAGCAAGGGCTCCATGGGTATGGACAGGCTCCCAAATCCCCAGCTTGAGCTCAGCACTCGCAGCAGCAGCCCCGTCCCTCCCAGCGCCGAGCACTGCGCTCTGCTCACTTCTTGGCCACTCCACTGACCCACTTCCTCAGCACCCTGCAGGGTGTGGGGCATGGCAGGAGGCTCCCACCATTAGCTATAATTAAGAAGAGCCGATGAAGCAGCGTGGTGCAGGGCGCGGTGCGCGGGTGCAAGTCCATGCAGCTCCAGCTGCTGCCTCCCCAGCCGCCGGCCACGCTCACCTCCTCTCACCCAGCAGGGAGGTAACGAAGAGAGGTGATGCCACACAGCCCTGGGCAGAAGGAGGGCCGGGCTGGGGAGCTTTCTCCCAAGTCAAGCTGTGATCACTGCCAGCACTTCCTAACCCCAGGGCAGGAGGACGCAGGTGATGCCTGCCCTTGCCCAGCCTCACGAGCAGCCTAGCAGAGGTCACCTCTCTCCAGGACAGGATGAACGAACCTGCTCAACTCAGAAGCATTAGGATGGGACCCCTGCTGAGGTCCCCAGGAACCCCGAGTCCCATTGCAGTGATCCCCACAGCCCCACCGTGCCGCACAGCTCCAGCTGCACAGCCGGGTCGGCTGGGTGCCAGCACAGCTCCAGCCCACAGCTGGCAGCTCCCTGCCCTGAGTTGGTTTGTATCACACGCCTGAACTTTACGAAACCTCCCTGGGCTGTTGGCTTTGAATTTCCACGGTGGAGGCAGGCTCCCCTGTAGGCATTTCTGAATAAGCAAAGCTGTGCAGCTGGGTCAGCAGTGGTGAAAAGCAGGATGGGCTGTGCTTCCTGGAGGAGCCCCGAGGTGCAGTGGGGCTCAGTGCAGGGACATCAGCACCGAGGTGACCACAGCCAACTGGCACAGCAACCACACGTGGCTGGAACTGCACAGCTCGGCAGCCAACTGTGGGCATAAACGGACCCAGCGTCGCAGCTTTGTCTTCAGAAGAGTACAAAGTAATAATGATAAAGAGCTGAGGAAACCCCTGGGGAATGGTGGAGCCCCTGCGTGAGCAAGCAGTGTGTGCAGCATAGCCCGGTGCTGGCAGCTGTCTGCATTTACAGCCGCCCAACCTGCTGGACTGGATCTGGGAAATGCAGGAGATAAGGAGTGGGAGATAACCGGGTCCCCTAGGGCTGTTTGGTGCAGGGGGACAAAGGCTGGAGTTCCCCACGCAGGGAGGGATTTGCAGGTGGAACCCCATGCTTGCCTGATAGTGCACTCATCAATCAGCAAGCATCAGAACTCCAGTGCATGCCTGCAACCATCAGCCTTACAGAAATCCCAGAGCTGTTTGCTGCAAGGAGGGATGCAAGTGCTGCAAGAACTGCAAAGAGAGCTGCCACGAGAGTGGCAGCATTGCTGCCATACTGCTTTCTCTGTGCCAGTCCCTGCAGTGCCACCATCCCCACCATGTCTGTCCCCTCTGCTCTCACCCATGTGCAGGAGCAGCTCAGGACTACCTCGGAGCGGGGCTGCTGTGACTGCCAGCACTGTCCCTCCGGACAGCCTTTCCCACAACCGCACCCTCCTTCACATTAAGCCATTTGCAAACCACAAAGCCTAAGCCTGCTTCTCGGTGGAGAGAGAGAACATCGTCATCTTTTAATTATCGGGAGGCACTCAGCCACCGAGGGGAAGAGAAGCACGGAGCCCCGCAGCTGCTAACGCGGATCCACCAGCCGCACAAAAAGAGCTTTCAACTCCTATTTGCTGAAGCATTAAAGTCTTTGGGGAGAGGACAAAAGTGCGGCGTCACTCACAACGCAGGCAATGCCCAACCAGGGCCCCGTGCTGCCAGGACCCAGATAACCACATGGCTCTGGGGCTGTCAGCACGTGTGGCAGCGTGACCTTGCAGACCCACAGCACGAAGTGCAGCGAGCTGTGGCACAGGCACAGCCCACCCCATTTCCCAAACCATCCCTACCTCAGCATGGCGCGGCTGCTCCGCTCAGCAGGGACATGGCCAGGCCAGTACACCAGTGCTGGCACCCGGTGCCCTCCTTCCCAGGTGGTTTGCTTGGCAGGGCTGCCTCCTGCAAGAGAGAGCAGAGTGCTCAGCATCCCCTGCATGGGAGCTGTGAAGCGGCGGGGATCCTCTGACCCAGAGCTGCTTGAGGAACAGGAGTGCCCTGGGACACAGAGCACCCAAAGGTGGCAGTGGTTGGAGCTGGGTCAGGGGAGGGAGAAGAGCTGAAGGAGTTATTAGAAGAAATAGGGAGAGGGTGGGAAAGGGGCTCAGCTTGGCATTGCCTTTGGTTTCACATCTACTCCAGCAGTTAAGTGATGAGAAATGGAACTGAATACTTCCATCCACCTCCTGGCTTAGGGCAGGTAACGAATGCAGGGATTAGTTCCGGGGGCTCCCAGCCGTGCCCACGTGTGTGTGCACAGGGTGCAGTACCTGACAGCACATCAGTGGTCCCCAGTCTCATTAAAAACACATCCCCGCTGCTGACCCTGCAGCAATCCCACCTGCTGACCAATTAACCCTTTTCCTTGCTTCCTTGACACAAAATCTGGGAAGCACAGAGGTGGGAGAGTCACCAGGCCCTGCCTGCAGCTGAGGGCTGAGCAGCACAGAGAGGGACTGAGGATGTAAGTGGGGATGAGCAATAAAAAAATGTGCTGAGCCGCATGATGGGGCTGCTGGTGGATGCCACGGAGCTGCTGCCTCTGCTGCAGCACCAAGGGCCCCAAGCAGCCATGGGGAAGAGGTTGGGCATGGGGTGAAGGGAACATCCCAGCCCCATTCACTGTACAGAGCTCCCAAGTGGACGCTGCCCTTTGTCTGCCTGCTTTCAGTGTGCACATGGCAACGGCGCGTGCCCGCAGACATTTCCTTTGGCAGAGGCAGCAGCCAGGGGATGTTCCTGCTGCGGGACCCCACGGCCAGGCACGGCGCTTTGAGGTGCACCATGCCTCCTGGGTGTTCAGCTCCCAAAGGAAATGATATCAATTATAACAAGCATTAAATAAGCCTCACAGTATTGCACCTACGTTTCAAGGGATTTGCTGCACAGTGAGCAGCCTGAGGGCAGCAGGAGCAGGGCAGCAAGCCTGTCCGTCTGTCCACAGCCAGAGCAGCCCTGGGACAGACGCTGTGCCCCTGCTTCCCTGCAGCTTGCCTGGTAAGGCTGTGGAGCAGGTTGGGAGTCTGCACTGCCCGTGTATGAGCTCATGTTCCCACATTCAGCACTGAACTGGGCTGCAGCACCCCAGACCCAAGCAAGGATTTTTCTCTGGAGGAGGGATAATGCAACCATGCTGAGGCTGCTTTCCAGGAACGCAGAGCTGAGCATTCCCACGCAGGGACAAAAATCACTGCATCCCCATTCCTCAGTGGGACTGCAGACCTCCAAACTTGGCTCTGAACATAATCATCCCAAGACAAGTGTGTCCCTTCCTGGGCTCTTGGGAACAAGGGATGGGGTTGGGTTTTACGGGTGGGCAGGACGCTTCTGGGGAGGGAAGGGAAGCTCTGCCTTCAACTTGGAGCTGGGGGCCCAGCACTTGTGTCTGCTGTGCTCTGCGTGCAACGGCCAACTGCACCGAAGCAAGTGGAAAACATTCCTGGAATTTGGGTTGGACCCTAAAAGGAAACGCCAAGCTCTGCGAAATGTATATAACCCTGAGCAACAGTTCCTCCCCTTCCTCTCTGTCCTTCCCGGCGTGGGGAGGGGGAGATGCCCAGGAGGAGGCTATCTGACCGCCAGCTGGTGGCTATGGGCAGCCCACCCTCCTCCAGCATCCCCTGCTCCCCAGGGCAGGGTTGTTTTGGCAGGGCTGCATGCGGGCAGCGAGATGCTGGAAAGGGGCCGTGTTTTTGTAGGTTTGTTCCCGAACGCCGCATTGCCCGTACCATCTGCTCCAGCTTGTGACCATTGGTTGCTCAAGAGAAACCCAGGTCGTCGGCAGGGCTTGTTTACTAAGAAAATGAAGGTTACGATTTCTTCCCAGGGTTGGAGCACCCGAAGGAAGGACCCTGGGAACCGGAAAAGGGAGCGGGGGGAGCCAGCGGCTGCCAGCCTCACAGCCGTGCTCACACAGCACCGGCAGCGGCTTCCTCCCCCGGGTAGGTGTCAGGAAGCAGATGAGGAAAGAAAACGGAGCTGCCTCCGTGTCCCCCCCGCTGCTCCCCTCCCGCACTGACCCCGAGCGAACGGGGAAACATAACCCGCCGCATTTACAGTGCGTAATACAAGCAGAAGTGGGAAATGCCTGACTCATGCATGTTTCTGGCCGCTCCGGCTGAAAGAAACCCACCAACCAGATGGCTTGGCCGGAAAAGGAGGAAATAATAATAATAATAAAAACAAAACAAAACAAGAAGTTAGAAAGAAAATACAACTCCCGCTAGGCTGGGCTTCAGGGAGCCGGGCAGGGGGTGTAGGGGCACTGAGACCTGAGTGGATGGAGGGCAGAAACTGAATGCTCCATCACCTGCAGATCCCAGGAGCTGAAGCACCCCAGGAGCTGCTGCATCAAAGGGATGAAAGCAGCGGCCACCGATCATCAGCTTGCCAAGGGTTTGGGGCAACAGTTCCCACCTGGTTGTAGTTTTAGGGGGAAACTGAGAAATAGATGGATCACCACATCTGCTTTGAAATACAAGAAGTTGCTGGAAAGGCTGAGGAGAGAGAAGCGTTCCCCACTTTCTGCCTGCAGGCAGAGCAGGGCTGTCTGGCATCAGTCCTGTGTACCCCCCCCTGGAAGCCTCCCCAGCCCCTTGAGGTCACCTCGTGCCCTCTGCCAGGCCCCCAGCAGTGGCCCCAGGCGTCCCGCTAGCTCACACTTCTGCATCCAAGGGCCGTTGTCACCTGCAAGAGATGGAAATGTCCCCATGAGCAGCAAGCAGGGGCACCTCCACTCTGCAGGGTGGCAGAGGACAAGCAGCCCCCACACCTCCTTGTGGTCCTCCGGGTGCTGCCTTACACCAACAGGAGCAGCGCAGGGTCTGGCAGCAGAGCTGCTCTTGTTCCTGAAGGCTTATTTCCAAGAGATGAGGCCCACTTCTGGGGGTTCCAGGTAAGGGGCTCCAGCAAAGCCGGGGCACAGAGGTGGCTGTCACCAGCTCTGGGCACTAATGAGCTGCAGAGCAGTTCCTGTGCCAGGAGCAAAGTGTCCTCATTAGGGAGGCTGCACAGCGCCAGTGGATTTGGGCTTCTTAATGAGTGTGGATTTGAGGTTCAATTAGGCAGGCCATGCCCGTGAGGGGGGTGGAGGGGTGGCAGGATGGGTACTGGCTGAGCTGCTGCCCATAGGGCCAGCATGGGAGCCACATCCCCACAGTGACAGCCCATGTTCAACCCATTCTCCTGTCAAGGACTGTCAAGCACATCAAGGACTGCGGAAAAACACCAGTCCCATCTCCTTGTGCCACTGGGGTTGTGCACAGCCATCACCCACCACCACGGCCAGTTGCAGTGCTTTACCTGTGAACCACAGCAGTGTGCTGCCCTTCCCACAGCTGTCGGCCAGGTGCTTGAGATGTCCCACCAGGGCATCCATCTCACGCAGGGCAGCCCCATAGATACCCCTGTCCTGTGGTGGGGCAATCTGCAGTGGCACGTGCATGTGGGCCAGCGCCAGATAGAGGAAGAAGGGACGTCTGCTGTCCCTGAAAAAACAAGGGGAGAGTTCAGTGAGGTTGGGGTGAGGTGCAGGGGGTCACAGCTGAGCAGGGGATGTGATGCGATGGCCCTTCCTTGCAGGAGCAGCAAACTTGCTATAGCTCATGCAGGCAAACTCTGCCACCCTGCAGGACGCTCAGCCCCCAAAACACAAAGAACCACAGTGGGGAATGAAAGCAGAGGCTGCCTGCCCCCAGGCAAGTGAGACATGTTCCCAGATCACTGCTTGGGCAACACTGGGTGAGCAGCACCTGCCCCAGCACCGTGCTGGGAGGAAGCGGCAGGACAGCACGTCTTCACTGTCCGTGAGTCACTCTTTCCCCACTGAAACCTCCCCAGTGCTGCTTCCTCTCCCCTGCTCCCCCCGGTGCTGACCTTCCCCAGGGCACCCACATTCGGGATGAGTTCGTCCCTTCCTCCATCTCCCACGTCCTACGGCACATCAGCCATGGGCAGAATGCCCCGCATCGATGCTCCCCTTCCTCCCCTTATGCAAGAGGGGAGGCAGCAAGGCGGCTGTTTGCTTTTAAATCACCAGAGGACACGTCCTGTTTTCTTGTTTATGGCTATATTTATCTCCTCCAGTGTGGCTGCTCTTCCTCAGGGAGCTCAGAAGGGAAGGGTGGGATGGCGGGGAGGGGCTGGATCCCTGGGATGTTCTGGTGTGGGTGCCCCATAACCCCGCTGTGGCCAGAGAGAGATGGGGGCTGCCGGGATCCCACCGAACTGCAATTCCTTCCTTTGCCCCCTGCGCATCACTCACCTCGGGATCTCAAACTAAGAAATCTCACCCTTCCCACAACAGCCATCCCATTGCGCAGAGGCGGAACCCTGCGTGGATTTCAGTCCTTTCAGCACCCTGCAAACCACCAGGATTTAGGAAACAAGAGGGGGCTGGCTGCACATTTCTGCAACTGGCACTGCGAAGCACTGCCTCTTTCTGTACATCCCACCATTGCCTGTGGGATTTCTGACACCCTGGAACAGGGGAGCGTGGTTCAGCTCCCAGTGATCGCCTGCTGTCTGTGAGCCAAGCAGAGCACAGCAACCTGCCTGAGCCCTACCCTGCAAGGAGCCACCCAGCTTCAAGCAGAAACCTCCTCCACAACGCAAAAATGCTTAGCATCCCCTTCACTTCTTATCAGCAGCAGTGCTCCAGTGTAGCCTATGATTACAGCTCTCAAGGGGCAGGTCTGTTTTCTCATTCTATCCGTACCACTCTGGCTCAGGCTCAGAGCCCCAGCATGAGTTTGTCCCATGCACCTCCAGGGGAACTCTCAGACGGGGAAAACAGTGCACAAGGATCGTTATCCTGGCACCCCACTGAGAGCCCTGCTCGCCTTTTGCATCTACATTTCATAGCTCAGCCCCTCTCCTGAAAACTGAGCAAACATTTAATCAATAACTTAAGACTTAATGTCCTTGGCTTTTGCTCCCGTGTTTGTTGTGCTCTAAGCGTCCTGGCCAGAGCAAAATCTCACTGAATTGCTCAACCTTGACACGACTGGTTAAAAAAACAGCAAGATGACAAATCCTGTGTTCTTTTCGTTGCCCCATAATGAGTGAGTCAGGCAGAGGAAAACTGAAATAAACCATCAAAGGAGAGGAAAGGCAGGCACCTGTTTAATCCTGTTCTCTGTAAACGCAGATAACCCCAAGACAGTGCCCAGACTTCTCCAGATCCCTGACACAGCCCTTTCCTTGCACTATTCTCTCTGCCTCCCCCATTTCTTTACCCCCTGCAGCACACAGACCTTTTCCAAGCCCCCCCTGCACAAGCAGCCCTGAGCTGTGCCAGGCAGCAGGCACTGTCCCTCAGACGGCCTCTTACAGAGCTGCAGAAAGGCATTTTGCAAAGTCACAGCTACTAATCCTTGAATAACAGGGATTAGCATTATGAAACCCTTCGGCAGGGCTTGGGGGCCGCTGTTTCCCGGAGGTGCTTTGCTCCTCAGGGAGCAGCAAACCTGGGCTCCATGCTTCCCTGCACCGCAGGGGAAAGTCATCCACGAAACGTGGTGACCCCAAGGCCTTTATTTGGGTGCTGCCTGCACCTCCCAGCACAGCTGCCCAGCAGCTGTCCCCTGTCACCTCTGGGTGACACCACCACAAGGACAGCAGCACTGAGGAGGATGGATGCTTCCCTTCACTGCTAGCCTGGATGCTGGTTCACGTCCAGCCATGAAGATGCCCCCGGATGAAAGGCCGTGACCTTTGCGGTTAGACTGTATTTATAAATCCCTTTGCATGTGATTCTCTGAAGGCCAAAACACTTCTATGGGAGCCCTGTGGGACCTCGGAGCAGCTCCTTCCTTACCCAGAACATCAGAAAACAAAGCCTGGAGACTCCATCTCCGCAGATCTGCTCACGCAGCACAGCACTGCCACGTGAGTTCTAGGCATGTGAATTCTGGCTGCCACAGCATGAGCAGAAAGTGCTTGCCAGCTTCAAGATCTGGTGTGGGGAGAGGGATGGGGATGGGGTTGGTGTGTGGTGCCCTCACCTTGCCTGCCGGATGAAGCGTGCTGCCGCCTCCACGTACCGCTCCGCCAGGCTGCTGAGGTTGACAGGCTGCTGGATGATAGTGAGGTTCTCAAAGAGAGGAAGGGCTACATCCGTGTAGCAGTCTTTATTGCTGGGGCTGCAGGAAGAAATCACTGCATTATCATCACTGCAGCAAGGACTGCGATGGCTGGGAGCGGGCACAGAGCCCACTGTTCACCCAGATTTGTAGAATAGCACTGCCAAGGGTGGCAGAAAGGGGACAACGCTGATGTCCCCATGGCACAGACTGCTCCCTGCCTAGCCAGACCACTCCAGGGCCCCATGCTTCACCTCTCCACGCCATCTGCAAGGAACGTGAGGGAGACCATAGCAGGGAGCAGTTCATCGGACTGCAGCTTGCAAATCCCAAATCCCAGCACTCAAACTGCCCCCTGCACGGTGTGTCTCCCCCAGAGATGTACCTGGTGGCTGCGCTGTGCTGTGGGCAGCTTGGGCAGGGTGGCACGTTGTAGCCAGGGGTGTCTGTGCAGCCCATGTCATGGCTGTAGGGGATCCCGAAGTAATAATCGAACCCTGCAGGCAAGGTGGGGGTCAGTGGGGGCCAAGCAAACGCTGGGCACTCATCTCATCTCCACCACGTCCTTACCACGGAAGATGGGGTGGTGGTGGCCATGGTGCCCCAGGTGCCATTTGCCTGCGTGGAAAGCACAGAAAATCATTTGGGAGGTTACTCAGCCATTGGACGCTGCCGTCACCAGTGAAACCCACAAGGCACAGTGCAGGATGTTTTAATCTAGCAACAAGAAAGGCCACTTGTTTGTGCTGGCTGGATTTCTTCTTACAGAAACCCAGAAAAACATGCCAAAGGTATCTCACGTCTATCCAAATCAACCATCTCCAACTTTAAAAGGCTCTTTCATGTGTTTGCGTTCAGAAGAGACAATTTCCTAACCCATCCCAAAGAATTGGATTCATCCTCTGATCTGCAGTGTCCCAAGCCTTGGCTGCACCTCGCACACTGATATCAGAGGGGGAGAAGAGACAGCAAGGGCTTCTGTGCTGATGAAACCCCAACACACACATGATCACAGGCAGCTCCACGTGCAGAGGACTCATCACCACCTGATGCACTTTCAGACGGGTCGCAGCACATTGTGTGCACAGGAGGGTGCCCAGCACCATGGCCCAGCAGCACAGAGCATCCCAACCTGCACTGCCAGCCCCTGGGGCATCACACTCAGCATCACACCCAGCCGGGGCGTGCGAGGGCAGCGTTGCTCTGCACACTCATGTTTTCTCAGGAAAACTCAGCGTTCCCATTGAAAGGTTAAGCAACTTCAGATTCCAAGGAAACCTGGGGCAGGCCCAAACTTCAGGCTGTGTTTGAATACGAATATGAAAATTAGGGACTGCAGAAAGAGTGGGGAAAGTGCAAAATCTCTCCCACCCGATCCTTTAGCTGCCGGCACTTGCCCTACATACCCGTGGCATGTTCTTTTTGGGCACCTTCATCTCAGCCACAGTGTGGCTGGTGGGTGTTACCTATAGCTGCTGTGCTGTACCCTGCTGCCCGCAGCACCTCAGCCAGCGTGGTCTCATTGAGGGGCAGGCCGCCCAGCGAGCTGATGGCAAAGTTGTGGGTCACCCCATTGCGCAGGCCGAGGCGCCCCGTGAGCAGAGAGGCGCGGGATGGTGAGCAGGTGGAGGCAGCCGAGTGGAAATCCACAAACCTGGAAAATGAATGGAAAATAAACCTCAGCTTGCAAAATGTGCTCAGTGTGAGTCTGCCTCATCCCTCCCGGCCCACACACAGCCCTCTGAGCCCCAGGAACAAGGGGCTGAAGCAAGACAGAGGTATCAGGGATGCTCAGAAAGGCCCAGGGTGGGGATGCACTGTTACCTTGTCCCTTCAGCAGCCAACTCATCCAAATGTGGGGTCTCTTTCGTCTCGGCCCAGTTGGCCCCCAGGTCCCCCCAGCCCAGATCGTCTGCCAGAATGATGATGAAGTTTGGCTTCCCCTGTGCCACTGGGGGAGCACAGAGCCCCATCAGCACAGCGAGCAGCAGCACAGACCCTGGGGCTGGAGCTCCCATGGTGCTAACGGGGTGATGCTCTCTCCAAAATGCTCCTCCAAGGCCAGGCTGTGTGCCAGGCACCACTTCACAACCTCGGCTACTGACCTGGCTGAAACACCTGCTCCATCCTTCAAACACAGGCACAGCTGGTACTCCTAAAACCAGCACCAGCAAAAGTGTTATTCTTCCAAGTCAGACACCCTCTTTGAAGTCACTGTCACTCTACTTTTAACTTTCTTTCCTTCCTGGTAAATATCTAAATTGTTATTTTTTCCTCCAGAAGCGCACTTGAATTCAGCAGCTCCTGTTGGGGTGACATCTGACAAATGGTTCTTCCTGTGTAGGGTTTCAAGCACAAGTTTGGCAGCAGGCCTTGTTCCCAGTTCTCTGAAGTGTCCCACGTGGGTAAGAATCACCGAGGCTCTGCTGGCAGCTATCAGCAATCCTTTGCCTCCTCAGGTGGCCACCGCTGCAGGAACTCCTGTGCAAGAGACACAAGCAGCCATCAGGACCCGCAGAAGCTCCCTAACCCCAATCCTAAACCTAATTAACCCTAACCCAATCAGCCCCTCCACGGACACAGCCTGCAGGGAATGGCTCATCCAGCGTTGAGGCTTTGCCTTTGATGTTGCATTTCTTGCTGCCCTGCCGCCTGGTGCACAGGGTTGAAATCATGCAGCAATCCAGACAAACCAAAAATGCAATAATGCCCTGGCATTTCTAGGCGTAGAGAAATAAGTGCAGCACTTGAAAATTGTAAGCTGGGATGGCTGCTTAGGGCAGGATTTGTCTCCAAGTGGCAAAGAGGCAACAAGAGCAGACAATCCAAAAACCAACAGCTGTGAAACCCAGCATCCTGAGCACATGGGGACGTGCAGCCAAGCAGGACAAGAGTCACAGAGATAAAGTGTGAGGGAGAGGAGGGAGGGGACGGTCACAAACAAACGAGGACAACATGACAGAAGGAAGCAAGAGAGGGAATACGATGAGCCCCATCTGTAGGCCAAGAGTTTCGTAGCTGGCAGAACAATTTATTTGCAGGTTTCGCTGTGCGTGACTTAAAAGCTTAGGGCTGTCGCTCAGATGGGCAGAATCAGGGTTTTCATCACAGCATTAGGGACAGAACTCAATTCATAATTCATGGCCCGGAGCTTTAACTCACCAGCTCCCAGCAGAGCCCTGCAGCTCTCCGTGAGCTGAGCAGCATGCAGCAGAGCAGGATGAGCCATGGGTGCAGTGTCACAGGGCCATCGCGCACCCTGAGCCACAGCTCAGCCCTGCACACCCAGCTGCAGAACAACCAGAAAACGCCTGCAATCTCTTTGAGAAGCCCCTGGGATTTTGGGGAGGAAAAGGGCTTGAAAGCATCAATTCACCTGGGCGTGGGGAGGACCTCAGCCCCGTTGCAGCTCTCTGGCTGGAGAGGACCAAGTTAAGGCTCCAATGCTCTCCTTTTCACTACTGACCCAGGTGAATATATCTATCTAGAAACCTATGTAAGATTTCACACGCACTGTCTAAACAGAAGAGAGACATGGAGCTGTGCTTGCAATTCCTCCCTACCAGCACTGAATGGTTTTAGAAAGATTTGCTCCCCATGTGGGCACAAAGCCCTTTCCAGGGACCACCACCCCTCACAGCGACCGGAGCAAGGCCACCTGCAGGTGAAAGGGCTGCCATCCAGAAATGGCAGGGGAAACCACATCAGTGTGCTGCTTTAGCACAGAAGGGCTGGGGACAGGAGTGATGTGCCAGGGCTGCCAGCATGCTGTTGGTCAGGGGGACGGGGAGTGCCACCAACACCTCAGCGCCCACTGCAGTCGATTCAGGGGGACCAAAAGGGACAAAGCTGAGCCCCCCATGGGGACGTGCTGATCATAGACGGATGCAGCTTTGCCAGGAAGCCATGCCATAGAAGCCAGCCCCCTGTGCTGAGGATTGCCCCGCACCGCTCCCCACAGCCCTCCAAACCCCATCCTTGTCTGAGCTGCAAAGGCGCAAATCAAACCCCCGTGCTATCTGCTGAAAAGGCAAGGGGGGCAAATGTAAAAATCCAGTGTCTCAGAAGCTGCTCGCTAGGACGAGGGCTGCAGGGCTCTCCTGGCACACTGCCTGGCAGGGGCGACACGTCACAGCAGACGGCAGGCACACCTACGCCTTCAGAGCATCCAGATAGCAGAGTCACCCCGAACTTGGCAGGGGCTCCTGTTTGCTTTGGGGAGGTACACCAGCGTAACACAGCTAAGAAAAACAATCACGAGCGTTTTCAAAGGACATTCTATTCTCTCTAATTTACAGGGGGAAGTCAGCCGGGCCAAAATTTATACGCTGCTGTCAGACAGGGAATCTGAGCTCCGATTTTAGAAGCCGTTTCCAAAAGATGTTTAAGAAAGACAAATGGAAAAGTGGGACGTGACGACGCGGCACGCGCTTCCCTCCCTTGTGCCAGAGGAACCGTCCCCATGGGCAGCTCTGACCTCCAGCATTACCTGCAGGAATTGAGACCTCCTCCACTCGCCAGACAGCCCGCACTGAGGTTCAGGGTGCTGCACTGCCAGCACTGTGCGGCTCGCTGTGACATGGGGCAGCTCAGCTGGCTGTCAGATGGGTGCTGCATAACAAAGTGAAAGTGTGCCTTTGCACGCCAGATAGCAAGAGAGGGGGATAAGGTGGAACCAGACAAACCAGTTCAGAAAAGCCTCACAGCCTCTGCAGGACACTGCTGGGAAAGGCAGAATAGGAAAAGATGCTTCTGGGGCTGAGCCCAGGGATGCCACCGCCAGCTCCCAGCTGCCTGCAACAGAGCCCCAGCCAGAGGATCCACCATGTATTTATTACACATTAACCAGAAGTTTGCAGTCTCGGGGCCAGCACGATGACTTTCACGTTTTTCACATTCCTTCACATTTTCAGGCCCGTGGAGCCAGGTGACAGCTGTGGTGCTCAGAGTGCTCTGCTGCTGTGCCCCGGCGCCACGGCACGTGGGGATGCAGAAGGACAGCAGAAACCCAAACAGCAGCTCTGCTGCTGCAAGGGGCCATGCGGCTGCTGGGATGGACACAGCCTGGTAAGGGGAAAGGTTGTTTTGTTTCCACCTTACCACATGCAGGTGTTTTATTTTCATATTTGAACACAGCAAAGGGCAGGCAGTGCTTTGTGTGCGAGCGTTTTCACCGCCCCATTCAGCCTCCGCAGAGCGAGCAGAGCCCATTCCTGGTAACGCTTGTCCTGACAGTGTTCTGAGCTGTCAGAACTCCATTCCAGGAAAAGGTTTCCGACTGGAATAGTTTATACAAGCTCCCCTCGCAGAATAAGCAGCACTGACAAAAACATACTTCGGCAGACTTAACTAGGATTTCTGCCAGATCCTGAGACCGGAGAATGTTTTCCACTCATCTCACCGTTTGGTCTTTGAGGAAAAGCATTACACACACACAGCAGTGCTGGACAGACCCGAGCTGAATAACTGAGCTCCAGGTCCCTGCCCCACATGGGCAGCACAGTGCTGGGTGAACCGCTGCTTCCCAGCAGCCGCCCCCTGTGTTGTGCCCATGGTCAGGCTTTGCTTTTCATGGCATTCTGCAGAGCTCCATCTCCAGACCTCAAATCACTCCCCGAATCCTTGGGAAGCAGCAGGGAAAGGAACGAGAAGGCAAAGCCAAAGGACAGATGCAACCTACTGACAAGAAACACCAAGGAGCAAACGCCTTTGTTTGTTTTCATGCCAAAGATATCTGCATTCTTATTTCTCCCTTGGAGGCACAACCTGTTTTGTTGTCCCGTAAGCGCTCACGCTGTCACTGCTGGGCTGAATTACAGCTTGAGGAGGGCAACGCCAAGGTGAGGCTGTGTAACAGAAACGTGAGAGGTGCTCACCATGCACCGCAGGGCATGGCACAGCTGGGACAGCAGGCTCAGCGCCAAGCTGCCCTGCCAGCACAGGAGCATCAGTGAGTGGCCAATGGGTTGGTGCTGCTGCAAGAAATCTGTGGGCTTGTGTCTAAGTTACCAGGTGGAACTTGTATCTTCTTTACCCAACCTCCCAGAAGTTTGTTGCCCAACCTCTGCAATCTTCACTGTTTAAAAAAAAAAAAAAAAAAAAAAAAAAAAAAACCAGAAAAAAAAGCAAAGGGACTCCAGCCCAACCTAAAGCACTGGGGTTTACTGAGAGGTTGGGAACTGAAAGAGCAGTTTCATTTGGGTTATTTTTCCAGCTGTATAAACCAGAATCAACAGGTTACACGCTGTCCCAGCAAAGTGCACCCAGCACAGTGCAGGAAGGAGCACGGGGCAGGGGTATGGTGTGCTCCACTGTTATCTATGGGTAAAAGTCCCTCTCTGCAGGGAGAGGGACTGAGCCCTAAGGGTGTGAGGCCCCGAAATCACCCCCGCAGTGTGGGCAGAGTCCATCTGTGCCTGGCACATCTGGCATGGTGAGCTGGGCACTGCAGCACTACTGCCTGAAGGACCCTTCCAGCCCCAGCCATTCTAGAACACTACGATCCCACCACTCTGCAAACAAAGGGACATTTAGCTTCCTAGTGCAAACCTAGCGCCAGGTTCTGCAAGTCCCCAGCGGGCAGAAGTGACGGAGTAAACCCAGACCTTCTCCTGGTAATGCTTAACACTGCTCCCCAAAGGCACTGCCTGCTCCCCTCTACCCTTTTTATCACATTTTGTGCTGAGTCCCCAGTAACCGGACCAGAGATGACCCAGTACCACGGCTGGGACACACCACCCCAGCCCCAATTAGCAATTGGCTGGAGACTCTCCTGGTCAGGGACCCTCCAGCACCAGGTGTGGAGACTCCTAGTAGCATGGCTGCAGATCCAGCAGCAGGGCTGGGGATCTCCTGGTAAGCGACTCAGGGACCCCCCAGTAATAGAGCTGGAGATCCCAGAGTAACAAGGCTGGGCATTGCCCAGCACCTGGGCTCCAGACCTTCCCTGCAATAGGGCCAGGGACCCCTCCAGTAAGAGGGTCACAGACCCTCCAGTACCAGAACTATGGACCCAACTGGGCTGGTGTCTCTCCCAGTACCAAGGCTGGGAACCCCCAGCAGCAAGGCTGAGGATCCCCACAGTAACTGGGCTGGAAACCCAGCAGCAGGGCTGGGACACCCCCAAAAAAGAGAGACAAGAATCCTCCACTCCCAGAGCCGGGACCACCCCGCAGCAGCAGGGCTGCAGAACCCCACGTACCAGGGCTACGGACCCGACGGCAAGCAAGGCTGCAGACCCAGCAGCAGGGTCGGGGGCCGCCCATAAACAGCCTCAAGGCTGGAGAACCCGCAGCACGAGGGTCAGGGAGCCGCTATTAGCCGGGCTGGGGACAGTCCTCCGCCAGCAGGTGCTGGGCCGCCCGGCCGTACAACTCTCCCCCCACCCCTCCGCACCCCCCCATCGAGGCGCGCTCCCAGCACCGCCCCTCCGCGGCACACGCGGTACCGGCGCCGCCGCTGGGGCGAGCCGGGCCCGGCGC